AAGCCTTTTCTTCTAGCTTGTATTTGTTTTTGGAACATTTGTTCCTCTTCATCTTCTACGTCATGCATCTTATCTAAATTTTCTAATAATACTCCTAGTAATTCTCTGTATTTTGCTTGGAGTTGTTGTCGTAATGGTTCGCTTTCGCTTAATTCCATTTGTCTAGTGAGTCTTTCCATTAAGATTCGTTGCTCATATTCTTCCATGGCTTCAAAATCTTTTCTATCTAGGGTCAATGCTTGGTTAGTTGCGTACCCATATTCTTCTTCTAAGTCTTTTACTAGGTCTCTCTTTTTCCAGAGAATAGCATCTTTAGTTTCTGTCAATGCAGATATCATTTTGTATAGATAAGCCTTTTTATTTTCTGCTGTTTCAGCTTCTGCTATTTTCTTATTTGTGACTTTTTCAATTTCTTGGATATGTTTGTTTGTTTGTTGTTTTGTTAGTTGGGAAACGTATTTATAATTCGTTTCCATGCTTTCTAGTCGTTGTTTCAATTGTCTTATTCCCATTCTTATTCTTGGATCTTCTTGTTCTTTTTCTAATTGTAAGATCCGATCTAATTGTGACAATTGTGTTTTAATAAAAGTTCCCATTTTTGGTGATTTGATTTTGCTTTCTTGTTGATTAAGGGTTATGTTTAAACTTTTTGCCTTTCTCTTTCCTTTCTTTTTGGTATTATCTTCTTTTATTATTTGCTTTCTAAATTGATCTATTTCTCTTTGCGCTCCTTCCAAATAGATCTGATTTAGTTTCTTTTCTTGTTTGTTTTGCGGTACTTCATGTTCCGCTACAACTGTCATTTGTTTCAATTGTTCTGCGAGTAATGTTACTTCAGGATCCTTGAATTCTATTCCCAATGGAATTGTCATTCCTGATGATCCTGGTCCTTCGTATTGGTTTCTATGTTCTCTCAATTCTTGGTCTTTTCCTTTAGACCATTCTTCTTGGAGTGTTTCTTCTTGAAACATGTCTCCTGCCCATTCTCTTAATTTAGAGATTTCATGTATTTGTGCTATTTGGTTAGCTATTTCATTTGACGGTGTCTCTAATA